AAAAGGGTTAAGCAACGACCTACGTAATTTGTGGCACGGATGGTTTAGAAAGTTTGTACGTTTAACATATCAGGCTCAGTGCCTGTATCCCATCGATAGTATTACAAACCATCCCTGTGGCAATTATGGTCGCCAGGGTGAACAGTGTCCATATGGCTCGTTCGTCTGGGAAAAGGGAAGTTTCACTTTCTCGCCAAATTCCTTCCGGCCGCGCTCAGTTCTCGGGAATGCCTTTGCCCAGAATTTCCCGGCAAGGGAAAATACCCAAGTGTTCATCGGGTATTCCGACGGAAAGATCAGACCACGAAAAAACGCTCGTAAGAAGAGCATAACTTTCTAGACACTCGACTCGAGTAATTCGAAACCTCGAGACTCCGTAGAAAAAAGTCGATTTTGGCATTTTTGGTCCTTCGAGCGTCTAAACTTCAATCGCGACAAGTCGAAAGTATCAAGCGTGCGATAATCCAAGTCTAATCGCGATAATCGGAAAGTCGGTGGACTTGACAAACAGCGACTTTGAAATTTCCTAAAATTAATCGACTTAACGCGACGAGGATTAACACTAAAAAGTGTCCTCGGTGGGTCGATTTTATTCAGCGTAGATTCACCGTTGCCTGCCTGGCGATTCAAGACAGATTTTTTTGCTTGAAAAAGCGATAGCGCAACCACACCGACGACGATTATCTTCGTACCGGCGACGCTGATGCGATTTTAATACGATTTCAGTGGAAATGCCCAAGATTAATCGTCCGAAGCGGCACAGTTTCGCTACTCTACTGTTTCCAGCGATAAAGATATCGTGATTCTTCAACGTTTCACAGACGCGAATTTTGTCAACATATTTTTGATATCTTTCGTTGATATCCAGTACAAATTATTGCTTTCGTCGTCATCGTCGTCAGAGTGAAAAGCAAACGGAAATAAGGAGAAGGATGTAACACGAACAATTTGAGGAATGAACGTTGCTGAGGATGATTTATTTGAAAAAAACTGTCCTCGAAATAACATCGTAAATATCGGAATGTGCAAGTGTAAAAATCTTACTTGTAGATCTAAATGGGCCGACGTCATAGTTCCGGAAATAAAAAAAAAAAAAAAAGTATTCGTCGTTGTAATAATTACAAGCTTAGTTAGGGGAAATTATTCGCTATAACGACTCCATTTTTTGACAGAATCAAATTCGTTCAAGCGGAAAGTTTATTATTTTTTGTGAAATGAAAACTTGGAAGCGTGTACGAAAAGCCAAGGAAAAAACAGAATCTGTTGTTTGATAAATGGCATAATCTCACGAAGGGGGAAACCCTTCTGTTATATTTACTTGTTAGGAAGCACATACTTTCGGTAATTTTTCAAAAATATTGCCATAGTTTTTTCCATTATTATAGGTTACCATAGCCTTTTTTTTACGGTGACGCGATTGAAAGGGAAGACGCAAAATCGCCCCGTAACCTAAACCTAACCTAATCTAAAACCTAACCTAACCTAAACCTAACCTAATCTAACTATCTTATCAACGATCTCGAGGGAAATAGGGAGAAAGATTTTTACCCGAAACTCGGAAAGTATATCGAGAAACGTGATAACAGCATGTGGAGAGTGCATTAAAACAATTTTGTATCGTCGTTTCATTGGCACTCGGATAAGAATCGATCGTATTGATGATATACGTAATTCACAACTATGCTGTTAGCGGCCAATTAACCTAATAGATTCTATTCCGAGCAATTACGAGCTCATTGTGAATTCGATGGCTATGTGAGATTCGAGAATGATAAACGCGGGTTTAACTGTCCCATCGGGAGAAACAAAGAAAGACAGAACGAGACAGAACCTTTGTAACAAGTCGTTACGAATTGTCAAACAATGTGTGGCAAAAGCTAGATCCTTTTGCGACCATTTGAAAATATATATGAAGGAGTTACACGTGCCTTTGATGAATCATTTTCAAATTTTCCCAAAATCGTATATTCTGTTGTTATTCTTCTAGAAAATATTTAAAAGGAAGACGTCATTTTTTCGGAATTTCACGAAAATTTTCAAAATCGAAGACCAGAAATATCTGACAGACTACCAAGGATCAACGGTGGATAAAAATTTTTGGTCTCAAGGCTATTGTACGAAGAAAGAAGGAAGTTGAAAGATAGTTATTTTTTTTTTTTTTTTTAAA